AAGTTTATTGCAATTAGTATTTCTTATAAATAAATATTCAAACCAAAATTGTTATCTTATTACATATTACATATTAGCAGTATATACCAATCAATGGTATATACCCTACTAAAAAATTACACAAGAAATCAATTGTGGTATATACCATGGTATATACCGGGTATAAATATGGTATATACCCCTCAAATTGTTTATAACATGTTATATACCATCCCTACTCCAAACTATTATGGAAACTGGTAGCATTGAATTAAAAAAGGTAATGGTCACCCTAAAAAAGCTACCAGTGGAACATCAATTGCGATTTAAGATGGGATCACTCTCTATCTTCCTGAAAACTGGAAGTTAAATTGACTGAAAAAGGTATTAGTGTGTCCTATATAACAATTCCGAAGCATATGTATAGCTTGGGTTATGAGAACAACTTTCCATTAGCAACCACAATGTTTACAAGTGCATGTGTGTAGGAATTGGCTCATGCTCATCTTGATGAAAACTGGAATAAAACCCTTTTTTCAGATGAAACAGCTTTCCGGTTGTTCTGGAATAACTTTCAGCAAATAATGACAAGACCATATTATGTTGAAATACTTTAGAGGCACTTACCTGAGGTTCAACAAACACTTGGACGTGTCTGGTACTTTCAGCAAGGCAACAATCCTAAGCATCCTAGTCATGTGACCAAGGAATTTCTCCAGGTCAATGTGCCTGAGATTATTGACTGACCATCCAATAATCCTGACCCCAACCCCATATATAACCTATGGAATATCATCAAGACCAATGTGGAGAAATTATGACCAAAAAATCTTGATGATTTAAAACATTTTTTGATTGAGGAGTGGGAGGATGTTCCAGATATACATGAAGTCGAAACTATTTTGACCATTGCAGATCTGGTTGAAATAGGGTCGAAATAAGGTCGAAACTGATTTTTACTATGTAGTTGCCTCAAGTCGAAACATTTCGACTTTGGGGTTTTAATTTCGACTTCATGTATAGATAGAACCTTTAACATGTATAAATACATTGTAAATTTCTCTTTCATGTAAAAATCAGTTAATTCATTCTTAACTTTTGTCTTGTAATAACAATAATATCTTAATAATAAAACATGAACATAAATATCTCTTAAAAATAATCTTTTGCCAGTGGAACTATCCACCTGCTTCCAAAACCATATAAACCTTTAACTCTAACTTAATTATTAATTAATTACTATCTTACCAGGGGGATGCCTTTGATATGTATAGTTGTGTGTGTATTTTCTTTTAATTTTCTTTATTTTTATTAGGCCAACACCTAAATAGTGGAAATCCTAGCTAGGCAAGATCAGTTGAGGTACTGAGCCATAAATATAATAGCAATGTGCATAAAGTATCACAGCAGATACTAGAGATATTATAAATCTCATTGAGATGTGCCAGTTCAGGCAGATAACAAAGAGCTGCTGAGAAAACATTACCAGACAGGAAGTAAGGAAACTTGCCCTGTAAATAATTAAATAGCTTGAGTGCTATAGTGAAAGAAAGTAATCAAAGAATTACATAATTGGATACTGCCATAAAACAAAATAAATATTAGTTTAACCAAATCCAAAAGATTTGTATGAGATGCAGATTTTGATCTCACACCATTGAATAATAATAACTTAAATATTCTTGTTCCTTAAAGCTTTTAAACCTTCTTTATTATCACATAAAAAACATAACTAAATCAAAACTGCAGGTTCCAGCCAAGTAGCCTTAATTTCATTTTTATTTAAAGGATTTGAATTTGCCTTGTTGCCATTTACAAGGTCAGTAATGTCCATATTTTTTTAAAAAAAAGTATTGAATTTAATCAACCAAATTGTGAATCCTCATTATAATCCAACAGAAATCTAAGACCAGAATTTTAAAGTAGAAACAATATAAATAATCTAATCCTAATCTCAGGATTATCTTCAAAAAATTTGTGAACAGGATTTTAGGGCTAATAGACCATCAGGAAAATGCTTTTGAAATTATACATAGATCCTACATGTAAACAGCATATAAACACCATATCATGATTTGTA